TACAGGATGCGTCAATTCAGCTGGCCCGATTTTTTTACGATAGTCCCAACAATTACATCATGTAGTCGTATCTGAGACACACGCCAGTTTCATAGAGTTCTTGTCCCCTTTCAAACACAGCAGAGAGCCCAACATAGTAAGAGACAGGTTGAAAGAGGGAGACGGAGAGAGAGAGGGAGAGAGAGTGAGAGACATAGAGAGAGAGAGAGCACGAGAAAAAGAGATAGCTAAATGGGATAGATAGAGAAAGATAGAGTGAGAGAGGAAGAGGGAGAGAGAGAGAGAGAGAGAGAGAGAGAGAGAGAGAGAGAGAGATCGACCAGCACAAGATGGAAGAAGCATACAAATCTAACATATCAGATATGAGCAACAATAAATGACAAAAAATCTCATTTCCAGCAGGCTGTCAGTGTCTCGCCAAGACAAATTATACATCCCGATGGCAAACTAATGTGTTGATTAGAGGCTGCACTAAATAACGAGACTTCTATTTCTTTGCTCTCTCTCATTGTTACAGGTAAGGTATTTCCTGGCTCGTGCACTGATGGTTAAAAAAAGAAACCAATGCTAGGAGTTTGATCATACGTCTAATTGATAACGCTATACAAAACGAGGCCAATAGGTTGGCACAACCAAGGTCACGCCGATGTCGCAGTTGGTATCATGCTAAACTACAATGTTGGAGATACTGGTTCGAATCCTGCACTGACTCAGTGGACATGATCTTGACCTGGATTGTGCAGACAGTTTTCGTGGCTCTGTAACCACGGGTAGGTTTGTCATTCGTGAAACCAAAGTTCCAGTTTCTTAGAATCACCGAACATAGATTTTTGAAATTGAGCCAGTACCCCCTACCTTTTGAATGATCTGATTTGTGTCGATGGGGTCGCAAAGCGTATTTCGAAAGAAGTTACAAACAAATACCATACCGAGACGCAATATAACAGTTTTGTTGTTGTTGTTTTTAAGCCGGGGTAGGGGTGGGGGTCCAACTGCTTACCACATTATAGAAAAAGTAATATTACTATGAAATGTTGCATGAACCTCCGTTCGACAACATACGGTTTTTAAAATGAACTACTGACTTACACCTATGTCTGTGGTGTAGCGGTAATGCGCTTGGCCGCCGCACGCGCAAGATATGAGTTCAAGTTCTGCGTGGGTAGGTTTTTATCGAGTACCATTGCCTGTAAGCTATTTGCACTGTGTCCCTCTAAATCCTGGTTGGCCCTGACCAAAGAGGCTCGGCCATATCTACACTTAGATATACTGACACTTTAAGTTACCGACAAGTAAGGCATGCAGACAAACACAATACAAGGAATGACTCAGAAAAGTTATGAGACACTGCGATCTTTATTTTACTATATCTATAACAGTTATTACAACACGAGACCTTTACTTGAACATAACAATATCTAAACACTATGATTTTCGTCAATAGACCCCTGCATCCTAACATTAGCGAAAAGGGTAGAAGAAAACCTTACGATTAGTTACTGTCAAAGAAATATAGTTATCAATAATTGTACATATTATTATGAGCGATCAACACGGAAGCATTGGGAAGTACAACGCCAATTTAAATATGGTCGCTTTTAAAGACAAGCGGGCTAACCCAGATTTCGGGGATTTCCAGAAATTCTTTACCTACACCTAAAGTGGGCATTGCCCTACTTATAGGAGAAGTTTGGTTTCATTGGTGTCTATAGACCTATTTGTTTGGTTATAGAGAAAAACTATCCTTGTCTATTAAAGAAACTGAACAAAGGGCAAAAACTGTACCTTTCTCGGGATAGCCCACTTGTGCTTAAAAGTAAAAGCGACCAAATACACTAACACCTTAACTGGCGGCCAAATAGAAGCGCCAAGCTTTTGGTTCATTTTGGTTCCTCAGAGGATAAAAAGAGTCAAGGCCAGTACACCTCTTGCTAGTGAACACTTTAAAAAAAAAACCTGTCTGTGCGTGCTCGCGCGTGCGTGTGTCTGTGTGTGTGTGTGCGTGTGTGTGTGCGCGCGCGTGCAAGCGTGTGTGTTTCCCTTTGCCTGTCTGTCTGTCTGTCTGTCTGTCTGTCTGTCTGTCTGTCTGTCTGTCTGTCTGTCTGTCTGTCTGTCTTTCTCTTTCGCTCCCTCTTTCTCTCCCCCTATCCCCTCCTCTCTCTCTCTCTCTCTCTCTCTCTCTCTCTCTCTCTCTCTCTCGCTCTCTCTCTTTCTCTCTGATTCTCTCTCTTTCCCCTGTCTGTCACTGTATTTCACTCATTCGCTCTCTCACTCTCTTTTTCACTCAATCTTTTCCTCTCTTATACACATTAGCGCTCACATAAACGTCTACCCATTCCCTTTCCACACGCACATACTCGTCACTAAAGGGATGATACAGTGTCCTTATTTCAAGCATAAAAAAGAGATTAGGTGAGAGGTGAACATACAGACAAATGGACAATGACGTAAGACATAAAAAAGGAAATATCAAGAAAAGATAAGGGAGAGAGAGAGGGAGAGAGAGAGAGAGAGAGAGAGAGAGAGAGGAGAGAGAGAGAAAGAGAGAGGGGGAGGGAGAGAGTGAGACAGATACTGGAAATAAAGGGGTGAGAGACGAAACAAATCTCCCAGTGGAAAGAGGAAAGAAAAGAAGAGATATTGTCATGTCAGAGAAAATCCACATCGAAATAAAAACGTACTTTTTGCGGGAAAATAGGAGCATATCAACACAACAAAGGTATTTAAAAAATAGTGCTGGGAATTAAGAGCAAGACATGCAGACAAAAACAACAGATCGACACTAAAGACGTATAATAAATCTCTAGCAGAGGCGCCACAGCCACCTCACAGAAGCTTTTCAGTATAATAATCATGTGTGCATGTGTGTGCATTTGTGTGTGTGTGTGTGTGTGTGTGTGTCTGTGAGTGTGTGTGTGTTTGTGTGTGTGTGTGTGTGTGTGTGTGTGTGTGTGTGTGTGTGTGCGTGCGTGTGTGTGCGATCAATATAACATCATTACAGGCTAGCAGTCTGTCAAAAACCAACACAAAAACCAACAACAGCAACAACAACACCCCCCCCCCCTAAAAAAAAAGAAAAAAAGAGAACAAAAATGAAAAACCCACCGAAACCAAATACTTTCTTACAGAATGACAGGCAGGCAGACAAAAACAATAAAACTGTAAACACAGAGCACCCAGAGTGTTGTGAACGGCGAAAAAAAACAAAACTCGGCTGGCCATGAACTGCAAGGACAAACAGATGAATTAAGTAAGCAATGCCATTATACTAATTTCGATCTCACGTGTATTCTTAATGGAAATAGCTTCATCGCTCCTGCCAGTACAGACCCTTCGTATTTGCACAATAAAAAGGGTCTCCATGCAGTGGGGACAGAAAGGATGGATGAAGTAGCCAACTGGATCCGTCATGCGAGAATTAGATGGTTATCCGCAGTTCAATTCTCCCGGGAAACTAGGGATATGCGAGGAGGTATGGTGTCCTGTTTATTCAACAGAAACAGTTGTTACCCTGACAGATACTATAAAACTCTTTCAGTTCGTAGGAAAAAGAAACTTATACAGTATCAATATGGAACCCTCCTGGGATTCTTATCTCAAAGTGTATGCTTTCTCACATCGCGTGTTTATCACCGTATAGCATTTAGTGTCCAATATTCTGTGCGTCCTCTAAAACTAAAGTCTGAGCTAGACTGATACCCCCCCCCCCCCACACACACACCTTTTTTCCGCCGAATAGCACTAGGAGCGTTCTAAGTTTTACACCCAACAACACACTAAAATGAAAATAATCTCTGTTTCTCTCTATCTCTCTATCTCTCTATCTCCCTCTCTTTTCTCTCTCTCTCTCTCTCTCTCTCTCTCTCTCTCTCACACACACACATACACACACACACACACACACACACACACACACACACACACATATATACACATTCATACACAGACAGGAGCACTGAGGAAGGAGTATATTGCCAAGGGGAGGGGGGGGGGGTAGAAAGGAGGAAGGGAGGGGGGGGGGGGGCGAATAGTGAAGGAAGGAAAAACATCGAATGCGGGTACAACAAAGTAGTATGACATATCATACAGGTACATCCGAGATTTGACATGAACGTATGGTATTTACCAATGTGGCGTAGCCCGTATACATTTCGCCGTCACAAGCAGAAGACGTGCGTTTGATTCCCCAGTGGAGAGTTATGTTTTTCATTTTCTTTTTAAATCAAGTATCTCCTTCTGTTTGCTGTGATGATACATCCTTTTCAACTTGGGTTGAGCCTAACTGGCAGAGTCGAAGCATCCCCACGCCTAAATAATCTAAATTGTGTCGATGGGAGCGTAAAACAAAATGCACATTGATAGATCACACAAGGAAGGTGCTGCATAATTCTAACGTATAGTAGAAGATAGCTTCATTACCTCTCTTTTCCAACCCCCTTACCATGGAAAGGACCACCTCATAAACAGTCGTCCCACGTGACGAAAAACGCTGACCACAGGTGTTTATTTCCTCATCCAGACCAGACGTTGTCCACGGATATTAGTTCAAATGTCTTCTACCAGGAACTCGTTTCCATAGCTGCTGACTGTGCGTCTTTCCTTTCGTTTACTGCGTCCAGTATTTCTACCGGTTGTTGTTTGTGTTATTTATAGAACAGTATTTTCGTTATTGGATGGATGACAATTGTGCCGGGAAAGGAACACGTGCATTTCGCAAGAAAATAATTAGGGTTGTGGCGCAGGAAGCTGAATTGGTGTCATATATATGGGCTATGCTACGGATGGCTATGGTTCTAATCCGCAACGCCGCGTTCTTGAATTTGCGTTGTTCATGGAGTTTTCAAAACTTTCTACGAGTTCCCCGGGCTCGTTCCTTTTGGAGATCACATTTCTAAAATTACCTCTCAGTGTTGAGAAAGTGTTATACCCATGCAGTCACCGCACGGCGATTGGTACCAATGCGGTGCTAAATAGATGCAGATAAGAAGAGCAGACAGGAATACGGACCGCCCACCAACCACAGTCTGATTGTCAAGGAATTTATTGAACGCAGTATAGCAACAGAGGTGCCATGACTTCAGAACTAACGTTATCGTAAAGTGAAGCAACAAACTTGAATGAAATGGCACAGAATAGTGATATCATCAATACGAGATTTAGCTTTTCATCAACAAAGCAACAAATATGATTTTACAGACTTCCAAAATTTTGAATCCAAAGAACACAGCACTAATTTAATGATAGATCACAAAGCCGGAGCAAAAAAATTAATTAAGTGATTTTTTTTTTTTTTTGGAGTGTGTGTGTGGATTTAAATATGGATGCGGATACAATGTTTCTAAGCTATCATTGCAGATGAATTGTTATGTACAGCAACTGTGTGTGAATTCATACTTTCGGGAATCTTAGTATAACTTTATTATGCTTTGTGATTAAGTGATTAAGTCTTCGTATCACCAACAGAATCAAAACAAATTTTAATTAATAAAAGATCGTGCATTACTCTGAAAAAAAAAAAACAACAACCAAAAACAACAACAACAAAAACTTTCTTAAAATCGAAACCTCAGAATACAAAGTTCTTTCTGAAATGTTTGGCCATTTTGAGATCAGAAAGCAATTAATGCTCTATCTCAAAATCGTAAGAATGTTCGGAGTCGTCATCACGATATTCAAAGAATTGTATGAAAAAAACCTTAACATGTTGTAAAAAAAAGTTTAAAAAATGACATCATATTTATCAGAATTTACTGAACAGTCAGAACTTTTTAATTCTGAAGTACCGAAATGTCATGGCCAACATCGATATAAAATAGTTAAAAAGGGGGGCGTGTACCATAATCATATAATCATCAATGTTCAAGGGCATTAAGAATCCGTACCGTACCATACCATACTATAATTTCAAACTTGTCTTTCTAGCGTCTGAAACCATAGTATCAAATACATATTTACTGTATTATAATATTATGTAATAATCGCTGGACAACACTATAAGCGCCCAAAATATTTATAGGCATAACGGAATGGCACATGCAGTGGATACTCATGGGAAACAGTGTTAGTGCGCATGACATTTGACACTAAATGGCAGCCTTTGAAATCTGGTGAGTCAATGAGTATAGTACCATTGCATTGGCAACTCCGCGTCTCGAAAAGTGTAAGGCTGGGATGCATTTGAAGCTTTGCGCGATTATGGGATTCTCGCACGATTTTGTACGAAAAACCAAGAAGTGACTAACTGTACAGCGCACGGCCAGGCTGAGAAAATGTTAAAGGTTGAGCACAACACGTCAGCACAGACAGAAACTCGATAGATCAAACAAACAATATTATTATGTCTTTTCCTCAGCTTGAAGTTCGTTTAACTGAGGTCGATGAGTAATCAGTGATGCTTGTTTTAGCGAAACATTTTGTGCCAGGTGCTGTTGGTGGCTTCACAGCAGTTGGAACGTTTTTCAGTGAGCTAAGCTTAATCTTATTAGTCACATGCGCCATTATCTCAGAACTCGATAAGTAGACTATTACAGCTCCAAACAGTCTCGTCTGCTGTGACCGAACAGTGCTTTCTACAAACTTCCTCGGCTTAGTGACACTGGCTGCGTCCCAACACAGTCAAAACGCAACAACTCGCTCGTTGGAAATCCTGCTGTGTTGAAATCAGCCGTTAACACAACAACAATCAAGCTCTGAGGAACAGGCACCGATGTCTGTGGTGTAGTGGCTCGGCACTTCGCCGTCATAATATTAATATGTCGAAGACGTGAGTTCAAATGTTGTATGCGGAGATTTTTATGCGTATCTCCCTCAGACAACTGAGGCTTAGTTTTCCTCTCAGTCTCAGCCAGATTCGAAACAGCTCGTCTCCGAAATAATCGAAATTGTATTGATGAGGGCGTAAAACACACATCCACTATTTACAGAGAGGCAACGACTCTTTTCTGCAAAGTCAGGGCTCTCGGGAAAGTCCGTTAAGATCCATGTAAGAAAATCGTTTTGATAATTATTGATCTCTTCACCGAAAATGCATAACAGTATAATACAGATCTAAACTTATGAAGCCAGAACTTGTCAGTTCTAGAAAAATGTCAGGCTCATAAGGATGGCGATAAAGTATTTCGGGAGAAAAGTAAACAGCGAAAAATAAAGATGAGTAAAATCTGGGCAGACTCCGTTGACTAGATCAACCCCCATATGCTGGAAACGTGAAATACCGATGCATCAACCGGCACATTATCTTTTCTCTAACCTTGTACAAAACAACGCAAGACACGCAAAGTCGAGATGACCTTTTTACCTGGCTAGATTCAGTGCACAAAACGTTTGCTATAAATAATGCTCTTCTGCTCACCTTACTGGCGTCTGTTCTTCATAAGTTATGCGCTTTACCGTTGCTTGCAGAGGACCCCAGTTCGATTCTCGTTGGGGAGAATCAATATCTTGGCTATTTTGCAGGAACATTGTGTTCCTCTCAGCTGGGTTGGCCCTGGCAGGCAGTGTCCAATCCCACCTAAATAATTCAAAATGACAATGTATTGTAAGAACACATTGGCTGTAAGAACAGCTATATCAAAAAGAAAAATATTTGTTCTCCGTAATGACTGTAAAACAACACTGTGATGAGTGTTCACTCTAGCTAGCGGGCAAGCTTTTGATGCTAACGATGGACAGTAACATGACATAAGTTTTTGTCTTAGAGAGACAGGAATTCTGATCTATCACTTCTTTGGGTCTCATTATGAGGACTCATTGTGAGACACTCGTTCCTCAGACAAGTAATTTCGATGCAGTACGACACAGTGTTAAGACAAGAAAGTTGTGAAAATAATGCACTCTCCTTGATTTATAAACACTCAACTTTCACATGGCAGATGTCATCGAGATCTAGTATTCTGGATGGAGATCCACCCTTTCTAAAAAAGTTGAGAGTCATAAGCCGAGCCTCGAAAATAGATGAACAAATAACAACACCTTGTTTGCCCCATACGTAGCTGAACGGTCGGATCAACACAGTGCGGTGTCACCCCGAGGCGGTTGAACAGGCAGATCTGAAGAATTCGACGCCCGCTTAGAACAAGGGTAACCAAAACACAACCGACCGGAAGTATCCCGCTCCGCAGAATCAGCTCGTCGGCAGCAAGCCAACATTGGAGAAGCAAAAACAAAACAAACCCAACAACTTGAGAGATGTGTTTGAAGTATGTTCAAGACTTGGTCACCGAAATAATCAATCATTTCAATAAACTCTGTAGAGCAAAACGTACTTAAATATATTTCTTAACTTCTTGCTAATGTATCACACTCTTGCTCGAGTTCAATGTGCCAAATATTTCATCCAACATATTAAACTACCTAGCCTGAGCGCTGCATTTTCTCAATTACTATCAGGCCCACTTGGAGAAAAAAGATTTGGTGACCCCTGCTAAAGAATGCAGAATGAACATACAACGGGGAAAATTCTTCGACTCTCGCTGATTTCTTCAGACGAGTTGCATCATTGTGTCCTGCTCAGTACCCTGCTCGCTGTGGTTGCTTATACCTGGTGGACAACATCGAAGCCGTTGGCAAATAGCTCTAAAACAGCACCAGTTCTTCAACAGTTCTGATCGAAACTTCCTGGCGCTTAAGAAGTAGATGAAGAAATTGATGGCGTGAGAGAAGACCTCCAACCCTTTTGCGACGGTATGGAACATAAAAAAGCGAGCTGAAGATAAAGGGTTCTTGCCCACTTTAAAATAACTGGGCATGGCCTTGACTGTGACAAGAAACAGAGGAAGTGTGAGCAGGACAAAGGTAAAGGCTGCAATGAGTAGCATAATGGTCAGTGCATGCTCAGTCCTGGCTTGGTCCGCTAGCTGACGCTGCAACACAATATTTCCGTTTCCGCTTGACGAGTTGTAGGACTTTGCTCCCATGATCTCCTCTCTGGAGCGCTGTAGTTTTCTGAGCTCTACGGCGATCAGTATGATAAAGAGGAAGAGAAACCCTGCGGGTATGGGCACGTATAGGTAGCTTGTTGTCGGGATCAGATATTTCCGGACGGCGTCGAGGTGCTCCGGTAGTATCCCACACTCGTTGTTTGTTTCTGGGCTCACGCCGACGGTGGCCAAATAGACGGCGTTTGGGATGAGCAGAACGATTCCGAGGATAAGAGCTGCAAGCCACGCACGCCTGAAGGTGAAGTAGAAGTTTTTCTGGGAACGAAAAGAAACATACTAAACGAGAAATATAATTGACATGAGGAACTGTTCATTTTCCGAGTGGCATAAATGGTACGTAATTGGTGTTTTGTTATTGGTATTTAAAAAAAATAATTTTTGGGGGGGGGAGTGAGGTGGTCCTTCTTTTATCCTCTTTAGTCTAAGGCTTGCGTCATGTCTCAGTTTTCTGAAAGTACCTGTGTTTGTCTAGTATGGAATAAAGTGGAACGATTTAAAACATGAGGATATTCATAACTGTTACATAAAATTAGAGGAGATGGTTTGGTCTAAAACGCAAGAAAACAACCGTGGAAGTTAACTCAGTAGAATTTCCTTGGGTAGGGTGGCCTGGGGGGGGGGGGGGGGTGAAATGCAGCTACCTTAGGGGGTCCATTCCTTTCTCCCTTCATTTCTTTGAATTAGAATTGAGCATACACCTTTATGAAATTCAATGCAACATGTTACTTTAGAACATATCTTTCTTCCTTTTTTCCGAAGTTCGTCTTCTATCTTAATCAGAGTTCTAAATCCCAATATCTCGTTCACTGGATGGACGATAGACCTATCGAAAGGGACATATTTTATATAATTATGCCTTCAACGTTTTGCGCTTCTGTCTACCATCCCTCTTTCTCCTCTTAACAACTTTACAATCGTTCCCTACCTCTCCATCACCTTACCACATCTCTCTATCCCATTCCTGTACATTCTCTCATTCTATCTCCTCACCAAAACCCCTAATTCCATCTGCTAAACCCTTACCCTCTTCCAAGAGCTAGCGATATCAATCCCATTAATCCCTCCCTTCCTTCTGTAATCTCCAGAGTACATATTATTATTTTATTGAGTCATTTTCTATTTCTCTCTTTGAACTATTCATCCAGATTCTCTCCCCCTTCTTCTTTTTTAAAATTGCACCTCAGCCTGCCTGATCTGACTTTTTCGATATAAAACTTTTGAAAATTGATGAATGTTTCGTTTCCACCTTTCTTTTGACTCGAAAAATAATTCAATTTTTCAATCTGTTTCTCCTTTCTGCTTCTCAACACCTGAAGAATAATCTTCATGGTACTCAACAAAATAAACTTTCTTAGACCTTGACGTCGCCAATGATTACGCCATTAATTTAGCTTTGAAAAAAATATGTGTTAGGTAACTTTCTCTACCTCTAGCTTTTTGTCCTATTTTCTCCTTTTAGTCTCTCTCTCTCTCTCTCTCTCTCTCTCTCTCTCTCTCTCTCTCTCTCTCTCTCTCCTTCTCTCTCTCCCTCTTCATCTCTACCTCGCTCTCTCTTACTATTGTTCTCCAATTCTGTCTGTCTATCTGTCTGTCTGTCAGTCTGTCAGTCTGTCTGTCTCATAAAATGTATATTATAGATAAAGAAGAAAACTCGTTGAACTGATTGTTTGTAACCCTGTTGAAATTAGCAGCTGACTGTGCCGAAGGGAGTGATGCCAGACAGACTTCTATTTATAGATTTTGACACTAAGAAGTGAGCATATGGTGGACATCTGGGTCGACAAAATAAATAGTAGGATCTACCCAGAGTACTGTCTGTACAGAAACACGCTCTCTCCCTCTCCTCTCCTCTCTCTCTGTCTGTATCTGTCTGTCTCTGTCTCTGTCTTTCTCTGTGTCTCTCTGTGTCTCTCTCTGTCTCTCTGTCTCTCTGTCTGTATGTCTGTCTGTCTCTCTCTCTGTCTCTCTCTGTCTTTGTGTCTCTCTCTGTCTTTGTGTCTCTCTCTGTCTCTCTATCTCTCTGTCTCTGTCTGTCTGTCTGTCTGTCTGTCTGTCTGTCTGTCTGTCTGTCTGTCTGTCT